CTGAACCAAGTGAAGCAGGGTGGCGGGGTCTGTCTGCAGAATTTTGGTGGTGTGGTCCCCACTGTGGTTAAGGTGCAGTTTCATAGTTACCGATGGCTTAATCTGTTGCCTCAGGCTTCTGCTTGCAAGCTTGATTTTAAATGAAAGAAGGTTCAGTAACTATTTAATAACCATGCTGAATACATATTTATAGTTACCTTATATCACATACAAAAACTGAGTTTCATATGAATCATAGACTTTAAAACAAAAAGTAAACTTTAAAGCCTTTGGAAAGAAAAAGTGATATGGAAAGATTCATTTTTCAATTGCCTGAGAGCACGTGTGCTTGCTCTCTAGAAAGACAGAGAGAAAGGGAGAGAGATCCTGACCAAATCCTGAGCCTTTGGTCTTTACAATGCTGACAACTGCATAATTCTCCACTTTTAAATTTCAGTGATGTGTTGTGCTAATAGTTACTCTTTCTTGAAAGAGTCCTGATTTTCATTCTTGGTTATTTTGCGAACACTTAGTATCTCTAACCAGATGATAACATCTTTTCTAGCTGAGAAAGGGTCTTACACTTTTTTGTGTGTCCCAAAGCCATTTAGTTCAGCTTTAATCTGTAAATGCTTGGCATTCAATAAATATCTATTAGCTCGCCTCTCACTACTTAATAAAGGGTTACATGCAATGGTCTTAAAACTCCCTTTTATTTATATATGTGGCTTCAGAAACAACTAAAGATGAATCTCACAAAAAATAATGTGTAAATAAAAGCTAAATACTGGTCAGCCCTATGACCTAGTGGTTAAGAGAGCAGGGTCCCATGTGGCCAACCAATGGGTTCAAATCCTGGCCCATGGCTTGGAATACATGCTGAGTGCACGTGTATGTGTGTGCTCCAAATCCCAACAGAGCAGGGTAGGAGGAGAGGGCACTGGGTCCTGACCATGCTCCACTGGGAGGTGCTTCCTCCCTTTCCCCCCCCTCTCTCTCAGGTAAGTATATACACCCTCTAGCTCAAAATAAAAAAAATAAATAAATAAAAGGAAGAAAAAAGTATAGATACAAAATAACATTTACAGAATCATTCCATATGTAGAAAGTAAAAAGGCAGAAGTCAGGATGCTATAGACAGTTGGAGAGGAGGGAAGGGGCAGTGACTGGTAGGCACAGAGGGTAGTTCTGGGGTGACATGCACGTTTAAGTGTCAGGTTGTTTGTGTGTGTGTGTGTGTGTGTGTGTGTGTGTGTGTGTATGTATTTTAGATTTTTGCCATAGGCAAAAACTTATGCACTTGCCAGAGAGAGAGAGACAGAGAAAGACCAAGAGAGAAATCAACACCAAAGGGGGATGGCCACACTGCAATCCCTTTTCCTCTATTCTCCAGGATTTTGGGAATGCAAGCACATGTACCAGTGTGCCTTTCGAGCTGCTGGGTGTCTGACTTGAACTACATAGTCAGCCATGTGGGATCTAAGCCTTAACCTCTAAGCCATCTGCTGGCCCTAAGTGTCCATTTTTTGGATATTGCCAGTATGTGAAAATTCACTGAGCCTGTGTACTTTTCTACATATGTGTGGTATTTAAAGAGAAATATTTAAAAAGAAAATCTAAGTACTATTTAAAAAACCTGTAAACTATCTACTTTTATAAGATAACCAATTTCTGGGGCTGGCAGGTGGTGTGATGGTTTGAGGACGCTGGACTCCCACATGGCCAACTGTGGTTCAAGTCCCAGACCTGGTGGCTTGCTTTCTTGCTTGCTCTCTCTCTCTCATTCTGTCCCTCTATGGTCAAATTAAAATAAATAAATAAATACATGTTATATAAAAATAATTATTTTTTCTAAAAGACAATTTCTTACAAATGAAATGATTTGGACACATTAAAACTGTTTAGAAAAATGAACTGTCTGTAAAAATGGTCTGAAAACAAACATTAAAAACCAAAGTTTCTGGGCCAGCAGGTGGCATGGTGGTTTAGGGCACTGGACTCCCACATAGCCAACCATGGTTTGAGTCTCAGACCCAACAGCTTGCTTTCTCACTTTCTCTCTCTCTCACTTTGGTCAAATTAAAATAAAATAAATAAACAAATGAAGTTAAATAAAATAATTCTTTAAAACAAAGTTTCAGGGCCAATGTGGAGGTTACAGTGGCTGATTCCACATTGCCAACTGTGAGATTCAAGTTCCGGACCTGAAGGCTCAAAAATCTCAATGGGCACATATGTGTGTGACCCCAGACTTCTGAGAGGAGAGTGGAGAACGGACTGTGGCAGGGCCACCTCCTCTCAGGGGTGACTTCTCACTTTCCCTGTCTCTCTCTGCCAAGCACAGACACCCTATAGCAAAAACTAAAACAACTCCCTGCCCCAACAAAAAAACAACCCCTCCAAAAACATAACAAAGAAACAAAAAGCACTATGGTTTTAAATCAGAATTTTTTTTAAGTGGTAAAGACTACAATGAGCATTATGCAAACCTAAAATGTTCACAGCTTAGATCAGGTTAAAATAAAACAAACCTTCATACCTGTACATCTAGTCGCCATTCAAGGCTGTGGTAACTAGGAAGGTCTGGTGCCAGTTCACTCAGAATGGTTCTGATTTCCTTTCTGTTGTCCAGATAAAGCTGAAGCAACAATTTGTTTAGTTCTTCAGAGAATCCCAGAACAAAAACAGAGTCTTGGAAATCCAGTTCCGAAATCTAAAAGTAATTGAGTTTAACGGAATATCGAAATTTATCTTTGTTCAGTAAATCCTAAAATACTCGATACATACAAAAGGATATCCCTAATTCATTTCTGCTGAATCAAAAAAACAACATTCACTATAATTAAGACAGTCATTGTCCACTATTGCAAAATCTGAGTTGATAGGCCAAAATTACTTTATTGTAATATAAAATAAAAAAACAAAACAAAAACCATAGGTTGCCCAGTGTTCCCTCCTATTCTCTATCAAGCCAGATACTACTAATATGCAGATAATAATTTCTTTTTTTTTTGCTTTAAAAAAAGTTTTATTTACCACATACATCCAAAGAATGTAGTATAAATGGAGCAAGATCTAAATACAAACTTTTCAAATACAGAGAAGCTAAAGGTAACTAAACTACTTGCATGTTTGAAAATAGAACTCTAAAACCTTTTTCTTTTTTTTACATTTATATAGTTTGTTCTTAACCATTAAAAAAAAAAGAGAGGGAACCAGCAGTTAGCGTAATGGCTATGTCGCTGGACTCCCACGTAGTCGACCGCGGTTCGCGTCCCGGACCCGGCGGCTTAAAACTCACACCGGGCGTGTGTGCGTGCATGCCCAAGATCCTGAGAGGAGAATGGAGGAGAAGGGATTGCGGCATGACCATCCCCCCTGGGGGGTGATTTCTCGCTTTCTGTCTTTATGTCCCTCTCTGTCTGTCTGGCGAGCGCACGCGCCCTAGAGCGAAAATCTCTCAAAAAAAAAAAAAAAAAAAGAGAGAGAGAGAGATTCACTGATACTTGACACTTAACTGGCTGTTACCAACATTCATTCTTAAGGTAGTTGGGTAGTGGCATGTTAAGAGAATGGATTTTGCAGAGAACAATTGCCATCTTCCTCTTCTAGGGATACATACTGCGGCATATATTCTAGTTTAACAACCAACACAACAGAAGCAACTTAAATTTGTACTAGCAAGAGGTATTTATGTGAGCAAGTGATGTTACAGTCACATTGTATAGGTCTGTCTTCACAAAATCAATTATACACGAGTAAAATACCCAGTATCTGCTAGAACTATGATGCAGAGTAAACTCGGTCTTTTCTTGAAGACCTGGGCAATGTAAACCAGTCCCCAGAAGCTCTTACCATGAGCTTTGAGCTCTCAGTGAGGAGATATATTAATCCTTCGACACCATGCTGCACCGTGTCACTACTCACATTGAGCTTTCCTGAGAAAGATAAAGGTCAAATGAGCACATACATGATTGTGACATGTATCCTTTTATTTAAACTCTTATTAAAAATAAATATACATTCAAATGGTGAATTTTATCACAGTGTATTCAAACACTGTAAAGAAAACCAGGAAGGAGGCCAGAGTCTCCTGTTTTTTTTCTCACTCACCTTGGGATAAAGCTGAATTAACAATCTGTTCAACAATGGTTCAGAAAATTCCAGAACAAAAGTAGCCACTTAAAATACTGGAGGCCATGAAACCTTAACAAAATGCAGACCTGTGGAGACCAGTTATCAGTCCCAGTCCTTCCCTTGAATGCACAGCTCCTTCAAATATGGCAGAAGAGGGGCTCGCACTGCCTTCATCCAGGGATGAATTGCTCTCATTCCAGAGACTGTCCTCAATCAGGGAGAAAACAATGTACCAAAAGCAGTCGTCTGCACAACTGGCGATAACCAAGCACTGGCATGTGTACAGCCGACCCAGCTAGTCCACAGACACCGGTATACTTATTACACGGTATTTCTGAAAGGCACGCGGTATTCTGTTCATTATACGCGTGAGCAATCTGACTTAACACAGTATTACGTCTCGCATCTACGCCCGGGCCAGGCGGGGTCTGCGCCCTGACGACCCGCGCTGGTTTCACTGCATTACAGCGGGAACAAGATCCCGGGAATCACAACAATCCCCTCCTCTCCCGAGCGACAGAGAAAGGTCTGTTCCCCGCGCTGCCTCCGGAGCCGCGCTCCTCCTTACTTGCGGCGCTTTCGTAGATCTTAGGGTTCGAGCCTCGCCTCAGGAACTCCACCGCAATCCGCCCGAACTCGGCGACCACTGCAACGGGAAGTCAGAAGCTGTGAGCGCCAGGCGCTCCCCTCGGCCTCCTCCCCAGCCCACAGCCCACCGACTCCGCGCCGCCGCGCCCCAGACCTGCGCTGTCCACTTGCGGTAGGAAGGCCAGGTGCTCCTTGTGCTCCTCGGACAAGTCCAACAGCATCTTGGCTGGGCGGCCGACTGTACCCAACAGCGCCGGCTCCGCCCTCGCCACTTCCGGCGCCTGTGTCCATCAGCAAAAACGCTCCGGCGCAGCACCTACGGAGCTTTGGGTTCCGGCCTGCGGCCGTCCAACCGTGCAGCGTCCTACCCCAAAACGCCCCTTGCGGGCTGGGTGTGTGTGGTTAGCGGGGTCTGTCATTCCTAAGGCGTAGTGAGTGCCCACCAGGTGCACGGGGCTGGACTGCGTGGAAGTTTAAAATCCGACACAGTCCCTCGTGCAGCATGCTTTACTAACAGCCATAGCTAGCGTCGCTCAAGCCCTGCCAGCAGGGCTCTTGGGTTTATTCGCTTATTTAGCGTTTTCAAGAATCCAGTGAGGTAGGTTCTGTTAATTCTATTAGAGACCAAAAAAACTGGAAGAGAAGTCAAGCAACGGACACTTTTATAGAACTATTGTTTGCAAAGCATTTTTGTATCTGTTATCTTACAGTTGTGTCATTTAATAGCCTCGATCAGTAGCCATGGCCTTGTTTTTTACAGAATGAAGAAACAAAGCTCCAAAGAGTATGTGATAAAGACATGTACAGAGCTGGAAGAAAGGGGGTTAGATTCCTACCCCTTCTGCTCCAACGCCCATCTTTCTACACACCAGATGGAAAAGCTAAAGGTTTGTAACAAGTTTTGTGAGTGATCAGATAAAGATAATGGTGACAATAACCAACACTTGCAGAATTCAGAGCGAGTTTTTATAACATTTTTTTTTTGGAGAGGGTTTTGCTATAGGGCGCATGCACTCTCCTTGGAATTGCTGCAGAAGTGTTGGATATGTGTGTCCGAAATCCTAACACAATGGACAAATGTAGGAAAGAAGATTGCAACTGTGACCGACTTCTCTTCACATTCTGTGGGCTGAACAGAGACTGACGAATTGCCAGTTGATAGGAATATGACTCCAAATCTCACTCCCTTTGTAGGAGAGAGTGACTCTTTATATCTGTCTTTAATATCTAGGGGTTCAATAACTCTTTGTATACTCTGAGTCTATCTGGAGGAAGTGAAAATAGGAAGAGTATTTAGCTCCCCTCCCTGTGTATCTCATTCTTAATATCTTACTAAAATTGTTTCTTCCACTGGGGCACAGAAAGGCAGGTTCTTGAACTTGTTAGATCTTGAAGCAACATTTGCAGAGATAGCATAATTTTTACTAAAACTATAAATTGCAGATCTGCAATAATTGCATTTTCTGAAGATGCTTTATTTGTACATTATTGAGAAAATGCAGAATGAAGAAACAAAGCTCCAAAGAGTATGTGATAAAGACATGTACAGAGCTGGAAGAAAGGGGGTTAGATTCCTACCCCTTCTGCTCCAACGCCCATCTTTCTACACACCAGATGGAAAAGCTAAAGGTTTGTAACAAGTTTTGTGAGTGATCAGATAAAGATAATGGTGACAATAACCAACACTTGCAGATTCAGAGCGAGTTTTTATAACATTTTTTTTTTGGAGAGGGTTTTGCTATAGGGCGCATGCACTCTCCTTGGAATTGCTGCAGAAGTGTTGGATATGTGTGTCCGAAATCCTAACACAATGGACAAATGTAGGAAAGAAGATTGCAACTGTGACCGACTTCTCTTCACATTCTGTGGGCTGAACAGAGACTGACGAATTGCCAGTTGATAGGAATATGACTCCAAATCTCACTCCCTTTGTAGGAGAGAGTGACTCTTTATATCTGTCTTTAATATCTAGGGGTTCAATAACTCTTTGTATACTCTGAGTCTATCTGGAGGAAGTGAAAATAGGAAGAGTATTTAGCTCCCCTCCCTGTGTATCTCATTCTTAATATCTTACTAAAATTGTTTCTTCCACTGGGGCACAGAAAGGCAGGTTCTTGAACTTGTTAGATCTTGAAGCAACATTTGCAGAGATAGCATAATTTTTACTAAAACTATAAATTGCAGATCTGCAATAATTGCATTTTCTGAAGATGCTTTATTTGTACATTATTGAGAAAATGTCTTACTTATGAATAATTTTTGGGGGGCCAGCAGATGGCATAGTGGTTAAGGGGCTGGACTCCCACATGGCTGTGAAAAGAGTCTCAGACCTAGTGCTTGAAAACCACGCAAGGCATGTATGTGTGCATGCCCAAAATCCCAGGAGAAGAATGGAGGAGAAGGGACTGTGGCATGGCCATCCCTTCTGAAAGGTGATTTCTCACTTTCCCTCTCTCTACCTCTCTCAAGCGAGTGCACTGTAAAGCAGAAATCTAATAAATAAATAAATAAATGTATTATTTATAAATGATTGCAGAAAAAGATATAGATTTTAAAAATGTTCCCTGGTGAATTTTCTCAAATTGGGCACACTTAATAATTGAGATTAAGAAATAGAATGTTGGGGGCCAGCAGGTGGCATAGTGGTTAAGGTGCTGGACTCCCACGTGGCTGACCATGGTTCAAATTCCAGACCCAGCAGCTTGAAACAGGCCAGGTGCATCTGTGTGTGTGCCCAAAATCCTGAGAGGAAAGTGGAAGAGAAGGGATTGCAGCATGGCCATCTCCACTGGGAGGTGATTTCTTGCTTACAGATTACCAGTGGAAATGTAAAATCCTAACACCACTTTGGAGAGCTATTAGGCAGTTTCTGATAATGTTAAATGTACAATCACTTTATCACCCAACAATAACACTCCTAGGTATTTACCCAAAAGAAATGAAAACATATGTCTAGAAAAAGACTTTAGTAATAATGTTTATAAAGGCTTTATTCATAATATGTCCAAACTGAAGACAGTACAAACATCCATACAGTTGAACAGGAAAGTGATGGTGTAGCCACATGACAAAATACTACTCAGTAATTTAAAAAAGTACCAGTACATGCAACAATGGCAATGAATCTCAAAACACTGAGTTGAGCAATATGACCCAGGCACAAAAGTGAACAACTGTATGCTTCCAATGATTTAGAAATATTATTTATGGAGAAAGAAGGAAAAAAAAAACAGCTTACAGAGGGTTGGGGTTCAGGTGGAATTTTCAAGAACTTTCTAGGACACAAAAGTGTTCTACATCTTGACTGGGATATTGGTTACACAAAGGTATTTATGTATTTGTCAAATCCGTTAAACCTTATATTTAAGATCAGTATAATTTACTATATGTAAACTTTACTTCAATTTAAAAAATTACTATAAAGAATGTTTTAGCAGAAGTTCACAAGATGTTGACTAGCTCTGGACCAGGGTGGTATTTGTAACTCAAAGATTTTCTTTACATAAAAAAAATTTTTAAGAGAAATTTTTGTTATAGAGTGTGTATGCTCTCTGGAAAGACAGGGAGAGACAGATAGAAAGTAAGAAATCACCCCCTGGGGAGATGGCCACATGGCAATCTCTTCTCCTCCATTCTGCTCTTGGGATTTGGGGCATACATGCACATGTGCCCGGAGTGAATTTTAAGCCCTCCTGGGTACAGGACTTGAACCTTGGTTGACTATATGGTTGTCCAGTGACATAACCATTATGCCATTTTCTTGTCTCCCTTACATAGATTTTTTAAAAAGAATTTATTTATTTACAGTCATTCATTATACATCAGTACAGTATATAAAATGAGATTTTTCCATCCAGTATACATTGTATATTGGTTCAATCAAGGATATTACCACACATGTTATCATCAACAAATAATTTCCTATTTCTTGTTGCTTATATGTTTTGCTTTTTTCCCCCCTTGATTCCCTACCTCTCTCCCTCTGCCAACTCTCGCCCTTCTCCCACACTCTCTCTGGTATGTGCAGTTGTTTTCCATGGATTTTTTTTTCATAATTTTTTGATTCAATAAAGATCTTAATGAATTTAAATATTTTTAATAACAAGCACAGCTGATACATACATATTTATGATTGCATGTCTGACTTGAGGGGTAAACCTCTGTCTCTCTTAGCAAGCACACAAGTACTATGACAAAAACCTAAAACAAAACAAAACAAAACACACCAAAAAACCCCAAAGCATTAAAACAAGCTCAGAAAAACAAAATAAGAAACATAGCAAAAACTCTCACTCCCATTCCCTGCTGCCCATCCTCTCCATGCCCCTACTGCAGACACAACTACTGTTCTCAATTTCTTATTAATTCTTCCCCACACTCTTTATGGGGAAAAAAAAGAAAAAAAACTTTCCATCTTTGCTTAAGGCGGTGGAGTATGAGAAAACATGGTATTCAACATTGAATAGTCGGTTGAAAGTCATGTAGCATTAGAACCATTAATAGAAATGTTAAATTAGAACTGGAGAGCTCCCCAAACTGAGGTCGTTCTAAGTTTTCAAAGCATAATTTCTGGAAGATTTTCACATGTTTTCAGGCCTTCTTGGGTGGTCAGGTTAGAAATACTCTTTTTGGCCAGGACTCTTGCTATTCCTAACTGCTGCAGCCATCGTTTCTCTTTAAAGGTACTGTAAGAAAACAAGACATAATTTATAAAGAGAGCCACTCTTGTCCTATACATAGCCGAAAGGATGGGGACCTTCAGGTTGATTTTGTAGCTGCGGGTAGTTTATCTTGTTAATGCAGATAGGATGTGAAATAGAAACAAATCTTTCTATACCCAGTTCTTTATTGAACGGTAGGAGCGATAGTTTTCCAAGGCAGTACTAGAAGTTTAAAACCCACAACTGGAAACACAAAACCATTCAGTGTAATATAGAATTCTCTGGGTTCAAACTTTCTTTTCTCTTTCTTCCTTTTTTTTTTCTTCCTTTCTCTCTCTTTCTCTTTTTCTTCTTCCTTTCCCTCCTTCCTGCCTTCCCTCCCTTTCTTCTTTCTTTTGTTTATTGCAAGAGGGCATGTGTGCTTTCCAGAGAGGGGAGAGAGAGAGAGAGAGAGAGAGAGAGAGAGAGAGAGAGAGAGAGAGAAGCAAAAGCACCCCCAAATGGAGTGTGTTCATGGCACAATCTCTTCTCTTCTGTTTTTCTATCCTGTGAGGACTCTGGGCACACACATGCATGGGCCTAGCTTGTTTTTTCAAGCTGCTAGGACCAGAACTTGAACTTTACAGTTGACCATGTGGGGTATGATTTCCTTCACCTGAAGACTATGGGAGCTGGCCCTGGACATGCCTTTTTGTAACGGGGGTGGGGAGAAAAACCAGAAAGGTCTACTTTTATCCAGAGCACAAGAACTCATCAGTCAGCATTTGAAATTACTGTCTGTTATCAGTCTACTCAAACTCTCAACTTTCTAGACTAGTCCTCCGTATTTGCATCTCCACTGAACTAGGCTTCTAGACCTTTCAGATCTCACTGAAATTGGACAATAAATAAGCACTAAGGAAGGCTGTTTTTCAGACACACCTTAGAGGTAGCCTTTGATCTGTGTAAACCTACACGCTCTTCAAGGCTGAGGAATAAGGCTCCGTGTTTTGACCTCAGTCTGTGTCGTCTCTACACCAGCTGAGTTCACTCAACCCAGGCCCACATTCGCCCTTGGTCTGAACTAATGCCATTTTGAGTCAACCCTCAGCTGTATGTTTCCAGGAACCTAAGGAAGAATTCCTGCATTACACATGTCAATAAGCACTTTCCCGTGATACCGGATGAAATGTTTGGGGTCCTGATTTGGGAGACTCCCATTTCTGTACAATCAGGACCATCTGATAGCTTTATTTCTTTCCTCGAGCTAGCTCCCTGGATCAGCATGAAGGATTACACTGGGTTCTCTCCCATTTCTTGGCTATAATACTGTATGGATGATGGTGCATGTAACCTCCACGGGAGGAGGTATATGCTTTTGTGGCATAAGAACTGGACTGGTCATTTAGAGATGAGTGCTCAGACCATTTAACTGCCTGGCTTGACTTGACTGGCTGCTTCAGGGAGACGTCAGTGCTCCTGTGAGGGCTATGAGCCAGACCAAGAAGAGTGTGCTGGGGCACGAGGTTGTAGGTCCCCTTCCTCTTCATAGCCCACCAACAAAGCAGGGGGTAGGGATAAGATCCCAGGAAAAGGTGCAATACAAAGGGGGTAGAAATTGATGGGGAGGGACCAGCAGTTAATGTAGGCTATGTCGCTGGACTCCCATGTAGCCGACCACAGTTCACGTCCCGGACCCGGTGGCTTAAAACTCACACCGGGCACGTGTGCGTGCATGCCCAAGATCCCGAGAGGAGAACAGAGGAGAAGGGATTACGGCATGGCCATCCCCCCTGGGGGGTGATTTCTTGCTTTCTGTCTCTCTGTCTCTCTCTCTGTCTGGTGAGCGCACAC